AGATCATGATGAAGCCAAGAGGGGTAACATAAGAATTATTGGAGTCCCAGAGGGACAGGAAGAAAACCTCGATGAAGAAGAAACTGTCAAAGACATCATTGCTACAACATTTCCAGAGCTGAAGAAAACTTGTGACCACATTCAGGAGGCCCGAAGGGTACCAGCTAGAAGAAATCCGAATAAAAATACCCCAAGACACATTCTGATCAAAATGACCAAAACCTTAGACAGAGACAAAATTCTGAAAGCAGCAAGATCGAAGAAAGAAATCACTTACAAAGGAGCATCCTTAAAATTCACAGCTGATTTTTCTGATGAAACCCTCATGGCCCGAAAACAGTGGTGGGACATAGTAAAAAAAACTCAATGAAATAAATGCCTCCCCAAAAATACTTTTCCCAGCAAGACTCTCATTCATAATTGAAGGAACAACACACAGTTTCACAGACAAACAACAGCTCAGGAACTTCATAGACTCAGAACCATGTTTACAAGAACAACTAAATGGGCTACTTTAAGGCAAGAAAGGCCCCTCAAATACACCAAATTTTAACAGAACAATGGGACAAAATCCCATAACAATAATCTCTCTCAATGTCAATGGGCTAAATGCACCAATTAAAAGACATAGAGTGGCAGGATGGATTAGAAAATTGAATCCAACATTCTGCTACCTGCAAGAAATGCATCTCAATAGTCAAAGCAAACACAGACTCAGAGTCAAAGGCTGGAAAACAATCCTACAGGCAAACAGCTCCCATAAAAAAGCTGGGGTAGCCATCCTTATATCAGACCACATCGATTTCAGAGTGAGGAAGGTCATAAGAGACAGTGAAGGCCATTTCTTATTGATCAAAGGATCTGTACAACAGGAAGAACTTACAATAATAAATGTATATGCACCTAATGAGAGACCAGCAAAGTACTTAAAACAACTACTCATAGATTTGGAAAAAGACATCAATAGCAACACAATACTAGTGGGAGACTTCAACACTGCTTTGTCACCTCTTGATAGATCAACCAGACTCAAGCTTAGCAAGGACATACTTCATCTGAGGGAAACAATGGAAGAAAGGGACTTAGTAGATATATACAGGACACTTCACCCACAAAAAGCTGAATACGCATTCTTCTCAAGCGTACATGGAACATTCTCCAAGATAGACCACATGCTGAGCCACAAAACATGCCTCCATAAAATTAAGAAGGTAGAGATTGTATCAACAATCTTCTCAGACCATAATGCGCTGAAATTAGAAGTAAATCACACACAAAAACAGAAAACTAAATCAAACACCTGGAAATTAAACAGTGCACTATTGAACAACGAGTGGATTAGACAGGAAATCAAAGAGGAAATCAAAAGATTCCTAGAAACGAATGAAAATGAGAACACGAGTTACCAAAACTTATGGGACACAGCAAAGGCTGTGTTAAGAGGAAAGTTTATAGCTCTACAAGCATTCCTCAGGAAGGAGGAGCGAGCACACATAAGTAACCTAACCTCACAGCTTAAGAGCTTGGAGAAGGACCAAAAAAGGAGCACAACCCGAACAGGAGAAAGGAAATAATAAAACTCAGAGCAGAGATTAACGAGATGGAAACCCAAAAAACAATCTGAAAGATCAATGAAACCAAAAGCTGGTTCTTTGAGAAAATTAACAAGATCGATAAGCCTCTAGCAAAACTCACAAAGAAAGGGAGAGAGAAAACCCTAATAAACCGAATCAGAAATGAAAAGGGGGTCATTACAACAGAAACCACAGAAATTCAGAGGATCCTCAGGGAGTACTTTGAGAAGCTTTATGCCACGGAACATCAAAACCTCGAGGAAATGGATAAATTCCTAGACTCCTACAGACTCCCAAGGCTGAACCAAGAAGACCTGGAATACCTGAACAGACCTATCAGCATCAAGGAAATTGAAATGGTCATAAAAAGTCTCCCCAAGCACAAAAGTCCTGGCCCGGATGGATTCACTAGTGAATTCTTCCAAATCTTTAAAGAGGACTTACTCTCAATCCTCTTTAAGCTCTTCCACGAAACTGAAATATCAAAAACACTTCCGAACAGTTTCTACGAAGCAAATATCACACTGATACCAAAAGCAGACAGAGATACCACAAAGAAAGAGAATTACAGGCCGATATCCCTGATGAACACAGATGCAAAGATCCTCAACAAACTACTAGCAAATAGAATCCAACTACTCATCAAAAAGATCATACACCATGACCAAGTAGGATTCACCCCAGGGATGCAAGGATGGTTTAACATTCGGAAATCAATCAACATAATCCACCATATCAACAAAAGAAAAGATAAAAAGCATATGATCATATCAATAGATGCAGAGAAAGCATTTGATAAGATCCAGCACCCCTTTATGATGAAAACCCTAGCCAAAATGGGTATAGAGGGGACCTTCCTCAACATAATTAAAGCCATCTACCACAAGCCTACAGCAAGCATCATCCTCAATGGGGAAAAACTGAGAGCCTTTCCTCTAAGATCAGGGACGAGACAGGGATGCCCACTCTCTCCACTGTATGAGATTAATACCCAAGAATAGCTGAGATCAGCACCAGGAGGATTACTCCATAACTTAGAGGCCAGTCGGGTATCCTAGAGGAAAGGGCAGTTCAGATAGAGAAGGGAGCACCAAATAAAGGATGTTTGGAGGATCCTCCCAGGAGGGGAGATGCATGTCGAAAGTAGACTATGGACTGAACATGTTTGCCACTCAATGCCTCTTTTGCAGACCACAACACCCAAAAGGAGAGAGAGAACACAGGGGACTGCCCTGCCACAGAGACAGGGGGGATGGGGGGGATGGGGGTGGGAGGGATATTATCCATGGTGGTGGAAAATGGGCACTGGTGGAGGGATGGGTATCTGATCATTGTATAATTGAAATCAAAGCACAAAAAATTATAAATTTACAACTGTAAAAAAAATAAAATAAAATAAAGGGAAAAAAATCGGGAAGATGGCTCAGATTATCAGAGTTCATGATTTGCATGTGAAAGCACTAGATTCTATCACTGGCCCACATGGTCCTTTGAGGACCAGCTGATCCTAAGAGCACTGCTGGGAAAAACCTCTGGACACCAGTTTGGCATAAGCCCCAAACACCACTGGGTATGGCCTCCAAACAAATAAAAAAAGTTAAAAAGTAAATTTCAAGTTTTAAGTTTTAATGTTAAAACTTTAAGAACTTCATAAACTGGCGAGAGAGAGATTACAGGAAGAAATAGTAATCGAGCCAAGTTCACTAGCCATACGTGGGTGTGGTGTCCTGGTTTCAATCCCAGGCACCAGGTGTGGACACTTATTCTCCTAAGGGTCACTTCTGAGCACAGAGTCTGGAAAAGACCTTGAGGACAGCCAAGCATGGCCTCCAAACCACACAGAGCAGAACAAAACACACAAATCCATGGACTACATCTTATAAACAATTATGTCATAGAAACAATTTTAGATCTTACCTTTTTAAGACAATTTAGTTTATTTTAATAATATTATGAACATTTTCCACTGGAATAAACTCTTGTTAAGTTATGAAATAAACAAAGAATGAATGTGTTTCTGTATAGACTTAATGCAAGTTTCTTGAAACCATTTAGCTCTGTTATTACCTAAAAATAATTATTTAAACTACCGTGGACATTACTCTGTGAACCAGTAAAAGAAAAATACTAATATCATTAATGTATTTTCTGGTAGTGGGAAAAACTGGAATTATCTGTAAGTACTGTCATATATTTCTAGATTTGCTAGCAATTATTTTCTTTGTTTCTAAATCACTCAAAATTTAAAGATTAAATTAAAATTTTCTATGGGAAGTTTATGAGTAAGTTTATTAGCTTAATGTAAAAATTAAACTTCACTGAAGGCCAGTATCCCAGATTAGACACTGAATTACCTTTTAGGAGGTGAACACATTTCATTTTTTGTTTCAGTAGGAGAGTCCCAGTGCTGATCAAGGCCACATGCAGTGGTTTCCAGTGCAGTATGCTTTCTACACTTTTGAAAATTCTTTCCCCAATCTTCATCTTTAACATTTTTTGAAGGTTGAAAATGTAATCCTTTCTCAAATTAATTTTAAAATAATATTTAAATTAAAGCAAGACATACTTGTTCAAAATGTCTAGAGATATCTTTTTGTCTAACTGTTCTGCAAGAGTTCCCTAATTTCCTCAATTCTATGTCAGATAATGCTATTTAATATAAATAAGGGGCTGGAGCGATAGCACAGCGGTAGGGCATTCGCCTTACAAGCGGCCAACCTGGCCGACCCGAGTTCGATTCCTTCGCCCCTCTCGGAGAGCCCGGCAAGCTACCGAGAGTATTCGATATGCCAGACACAGTAACAACAAAGTCTCCAATGGAGACGTTACTGGGCCCGCTCGAGCAAATCGACGATCAACGGGAGGGCCTTTTAAATTTATACTTCTTAATGGAAATAATGTCATTTTAATGTAATAGAGTTTTCTAGATGCAAACTATGTGGCCAATCAAGAACCAAATGGCTAGAGTTTAATGAATCATGTGATTTTGATTTGGCTTTGTAAATCCAGTGTTTGCAGTATAGTTTGTGACTCAGGGCAATTAAAGTCCAGCTGTGTAAACTAGTATTTTGGAGAATAGATTTTAATCAGATAGACCTTGACTCAAACTCCAAATTTTCTATTTCTTGCTCTGTCATAGTAAACAAGTAATTTGTCTTTTTTTTTATCATTGTGAGGCAATGATAACAAAACTTACTTAATGAGGTTGTCATTAAATGAAAAATATATGAGAAGCACCCAGCATCAACTTTTTCATTTAGTAATCACTCAGAAAATCCAAGTGACCTACACATACGATTTTTCCAAATGTCATGGATTATGTTTTTTTTTGTTCAATAGTAGTAGACATATTTGAAGTGTTTGAGTTTTTCTTGTCATTAATAGAAATTTATGCTTAAAACTATTTATATACAATTGTAAAAAGGAATGCTATGTGGAATTTTGCTGTGTGACTCTTACCTAATCAAGGATTTAATTGATCTATTAACACAAAATAACAAATTATCATTTTCTTTATTAAAAGTCTTTTCCTCTAATTTGATCATTTCCTCTAATTTGATCCATCAAGGGCTGTAGCGATAGCACAGCGGTAGGGCGTTTGCCTTGCACGCAGCCAACATGGCCGACCCGAGTTTGATTCCTCCGCCCCTCTCAGAGAGCCCGGCAAGCTACCGAGAGTATCTCGCCCGCACGGCAGAGCCTGGCAAGCTCCCCGTGACGTATTCGATATGCCAGACACAGTAACAACAAAGTCTCCAATGGAGATGTTACTGGGCCCGTTCGAGCAAATCGACGAACAACGGGAGGGCCTTTTTACCTTTACTTTTACCTTCCTCTAATTTGATCATTTAACCATTAGTATATCCATTTTGACTCTACTAGTGATAACATATTTTTGTTACTTAATCTCTAATATTAAATACTCTATTGTTAATATACTAATATACACATTGATATCTAATACTCTAATATCTAATATTTCTGTTCTCTTCTTATGCTGTCCTTTCTGGGCATCAGCGGCTGCTTCAAAGAGTAAAGTTAAAGGTGAGTTCGTATATATCCTGCATGATTTTTCAATGATCTGTCTTTCTACTCAATCTTGTAACCCCTTTTATATGGTTTTGTTCAGAATATTAATATTAGTTGTACATGCTTAAAAATTCAAATATACATTATTCTAATTATTCAGTTTTTGATATTTTCATGTTTGCATGAATGTTTCTGAGTTTTTCTTCTTGTATTATTTTGCATCTTATTCCAAGAAGAATAAAATTCTTTTGTGAACTAACCTTTTGTCCACTGATTGTAGTTTTCCTGATAAAACTGTAAATTGGAAAAATATCACATAACATGAATCTGATACAAAGTCTCAAAAACTTTTCTAAGAATTTGGTGAAAAGAAAAAAATATCCTTTCAAATTTTAATAGTATAATCAGTTTTTTATTTGTGCATTTTCCCCCATTTTCTAATTATATAATGTTGCATAACCCTACAATATGTGCAAAAGGATGGACTTTTCCAATGCCAGGATGTTTTCCTAAAAGTAAAAGGACTTTGTCTGGTAATGTCAGTGATACTAGTTCTGAAAAAAATTCAGATATTTTTATAATTCAAGCTCACAGCTTCTGTTTTAATTTTATACTCTCAAGAACAATCTAAACTTAAAATTCAGTTTAATTTTATACAGCAAGGATCTGTTTCCCCTTCTTCATTTTTCTTACACAGCAGTATGGCAATGATTTTATTGTTTATTTGCTATTATATGTGGTTTCCTTGTCTATAGTATGAATCACTGTCACTGTCACTGTCCTCCCATTGTTCATTGATTTGCATGAGAGGGCCCAGTAACATCTCCATTGTGACACTTGTTACTGTGTTTGACATATTGAATACGTCACGGGTAGCTTGCCAAGCTTTGCTGTGTGGGCGAGATACTCTTGGTAGCTTGCTGGGCTCTCCAAGAGGGGCAGAGGAATTGAACCTGGGTATGAATATAAATTCCAAATGTTTATTCCAAGTATTTCTCTGCTAATAAAATTGTAGAGAACTTTAATTTTCCTTCATTTTCCATGCACTTGACTTTCTTTTTGGAGAAATTTGTTTTTTGTCGGTGTTGTGGTTTTTTTTTTTAATTTTATGATACACAAGGCAACAATCAGGGTTTAGTCCTGGCTCTGCACTCAGGAATTAGTCCTGCTGGTGCTCAGGGGACCATATGGGATACTAGGGATCAAATCCAGGTTGGTTGCATGCAAGGCAAATGCTCTACTGCTATATTAGCACTGCAATCCCAAGAAATTTCTGATCCTTCATTGGTATTGTTCTGTGTAATATTTTGTCTATATTTGAGGAATGAAATAGAATATCTGACTCTTCCCACTCTTACATTAAATCCAAGACAGGACTTTCTCCATTGTCACTCACTTTTAGTACTCCCTTTACTTTGATTCTAGTTTTACAATTAATTTAACACAATGACATAGATTCATCTCAGAAGATTTAACTGCTACTGACTTTTAAGAATAAACAGTTACTGAGAGACTATTTTTTGCCTAGCAATGTATTTACTTTTAGCGAGAGCACAGCGGGCAGGGTGTCTGCCTTGCACTTGGCCGACCCGGGTTCAATTCCTCCGTCCCTCTTGGAGAGCCCAGCAAGCTACTGAGAGTATCCTGCCCACAGGGCAGTGCCTGGCAAGCTCCCCTGCCATAAGCAGTAACAACCAGTCCCACAATGGAGATGCTACTGGTGCCCATTCAAGCAGATAGGTGAACAAAGGTATGGCAGTTCTACAGTGCTACAATGATAAAGGTAAAGATGTCAAATTTATTGTTATACTTTGCTGCATTCTCAGTTTACTAGTTCACTGACTTTTTAATAAATGTACTACAAGTGTCATTTTTGTTGCCATAATTTTGTACCTGGTTGTGAGCAAACTAAACACATTCACAGAAAAACAAAAAAAAATACTTGATCGAGAATGAATATTAAGGAGCCTAAGCAATAGCACAGTGGGGAGGGCATTTGCCTTGCATGTAGTTGACCTGGGTTTGATCTCTGGCATCCTATATGGTCTCCCAAGCACCACCAGAAGTGATTCCTAAGCACAGAGCCAGGAATGACTACTGAGCGTTGCTGGATGTGGCGTAAAAACTAAAAAAAGAAAAAAAATTGGATGAATGTAAAGGAGTATATAATCATAATGTAATATAATCATAATATATTATATGAAAGTTAAGAAGTAAATATTTAAGAACAAAAAGATAAAAACAATTTATAGGTCCAGAGAGAGAGAGCGCAATGGGTAAGATGCTTGCCTTGAATATGCTGACGCAGGTTCAATTCTCAATACCCCATTTTTCCCCTCAGCCTGACAAAACTGATCCCTCCATGCAGAACTAGGAGTAAGCACTGAACAACTCTGGATCTAATTACCCTCCAAGGAAAGCAATTTATAATACTATATTCTGTGTGGGAGTTAAAAGTGAGGTAGAGGTAGGGAATGAAATATTAAAATGGATGTTTGTTCTCAAAGAGTTCTTTGTCGAGGAAGTAAGATTTTACACAGTAAATCTGTGCATAAAAGGAAGAGCTTGAAAGCATAAAGGTATGGAAATGGAAAAACTTGTCCATTTCAATAGAGTGAGGTTATCTTTTTAAGTGCAGTATATTTTTATGTTTTTTTATGATAGTAAAGTTAATTTGATGATACAATAGAAGTGGAGTGAACTTGAGCCATTATTGCAATTCATTGCTTGACACCTGTCACAATAATCACTTCTATGTTCACTTAATAATTCTTAAAATCAATGGATGGTAATTTAGATTAAAATATCTTAGTGATAAAAGTATTAACTACAAGAAACGAGTTTTCCTCAGAGAACTATTGCTAAAAATTGAATTACGGTGTCTGGTAAGTTATGTTAGAACTCAAACTGCCTAGAACTTTGCAGTGCAAACATTGTGTGTGTGTGTGTGTGTGTGTGTGTGTGTGTGTGCGCGCGTGCACGCATGCACGCTCATTTGGTTCTGCCACAACTGTTTTACCATTCATTTTGTTCAGATTGCGTTTTTGCACATGTGTGTAGGCCCAGATGGGCATTAGGACATAGCTTACCCTACATGTATATCTTTGCATATATAAAATGTTAGAGAGTCAAGAATTGAAACATTCTGAAATGAGCTGTGCCTCAATGGGTACTTCTAACCATTGTTTTAGAGATGCTCATTTATGAGTATATAATAGAGAAAAGATTATTCAGTGCTTTTATTGTCCAATTTCTATGTCAAGGAAAATTGTTCCTCAAATAGGAGAAAATTGTTAAGGGGAATTAATTTTTTTAAATATGAACAGAATATAGGAGCACAGCATTATTTTTAAATAGTCCATTTATAGCCCTAGCTATATCCCAGAGAACAAACAGAAATTGTTTTGTGAGGTTCATTTCTCATTCATTTATTATGTGACATACAACTATGGGGAGATTCTAGAATATTGAAAAGAATATGTCCTGATGTCCTGATTTCTTTAAGGAGTAAAAAATTACATTACAGAAATTATTATGAACTTGTAAATTTATGGTAATTTATTAATAAAATATATGAAGCATATTCTTAAATCAACTGATTTATGCCCATTTCTAACAATTTAGTAAGTCAGAAGTTATAAATAATGTCATAAATAATCATATTCGTATTCTTCTCCTCAAAATAAATGGGCTTACCATCTCAAGTCTGTGTTATCTCTTGACACATCCTTTCTGAGTTTCTCTACCGTCACATCTTTCTAAGTGAGTTTCATTTAATAAAAACTATCTTGCATCACTATAAATACAGTTGGTCATTAGAGTAGTATCAGAGGGCAGTAGTATAAACATGATATATCTGTAGGCCATCAAATCATGTTGTAATTCTGCATTTTCTTCTCTTTGCAGAAGGAAACCCTAGTATAAAATTGAGTAGTACTTTGCCAATTCTCATATTATGGGGGTGTTTTTCATTTTGTTTGGGGAATATTTATTGTTTTGTTTGATTTAATGCCCCATTAGTCTCAATGTCTCTGTACAGGCCAAGGGTTGAGAATGAAAGTAAAGTAGAATGATGCAGGGTTTGTATCAGGAACAAATAAATTGGACCTGCCTTGTTGGATGTATTGATGAGGAAACTATTTTCCTAGGAGACTTATTTCTCATTATTTCATTTTTTCTCCTGAGTTTCTCCTTAATTCGCCTTGTATTAACCTCACTTCCTCATGGAAAAGTGAGGAGGTAATTAGTTTCTCAATAAGATGAATAATTTTCTGGAAAAAGCTTTAGGCATAGCTAATCTAAAATGATGAACTCAGAAAAGAGAAGAATGATTAAAGACATGTTCATAAAAAATTATTGTAAGACCATTCAATAGGCAAAAATATAGACAATTTTAATTGTTTTTAATTTGTACTTTCATATAACATAGTTTCTAATTTATAATTTTCATGGCATAGGTATTTTTGATATGTTTTTATTATGGAATATATCATTATTTATTGTTGTCTATTCCTTTTCATGTCCCAAAGTACAAACTGCTAAGGGTGATCACGATCACGATGATCACAACCATCCTGTTGTTCGTCGATTGTCCCTAGCAGGCCCCAGTAATGTCTCCTTCGTCCTAGCCCTGAGATTTTTTTTTTAAACAGTGCCATATTCAAGGCTCTTTCAGGGTTAGGAGAATGTGACCCATCATTGTTACTGGTATTTGGCATGTTGGGTACGCCATGGGGAGTTTGCCAGACTCCGCAGTGTGGGCAGGTTACATTCGGTAGCCTGCCAGTTTGTTCAAAGTAGGAATGAAATAATAAGATGTCACTTCCGGGAGCTGGGTTTTATAGTCTCTGAGTTTTGGCCATTGATGGGATTACACGGCGCCGGGGGGGGGGGGGGGGGGGGCAGTTGGTGAGTGTGACCCCTGGCTACTGGAATTTGGAGGATCTGGGTGGAGGATGCTCTGCCCTGATCCGAGCAGGCTTGTAAATCTCAGCCTCGGACCTGCATGCCTTTGT